GGAGGGAGTGGCATTGGGCAAATTTTACTTCCACAGATGTTAGGTGACTTGCAGGGGCTCCCTGTCTCTCCATTAGAAGGATTTTTATGCAGGAAGGTGCTTGTTACACGTACATTTCAACACAGCAGAACCGTCACTTTAGGAGTAGGGTATATGAATAGAGTCATTCCATAACATGGAAGGTGGTTTATTAAAGAGTTTCTGAAAGATGCACCTTAGGAAAGGGCACCCTGAAGTTTTACTAGGTGTTTGAAGCAGTTATATTACCTTAATATTTCTCTATTTCTCTATCATATCTATTGGTTTCTGCAGAAGTTACCAAAATCTCATTCACACACCAAATATGCAATGCTCCAGGCATGCTTCTAGGTGATGGGGACACTTCACTGAGCATAATACAGGAGAAAATATGGTTCTCTTGAGGGCTGCATTTTAGTAAAGTGGCACAGAAAACAGGCAAACAGGAGGAGGAAGTGTGATCAGGAAGATAAAGAGACGATGTGAAAGACTAGGAATTCTAGCTGTTGTAGAAGTCACTAAAGTGGTCTGAGTAGAGAAGGGACATGATCTAAATGATACACTGAGGGCATCGTGCTGCCTGTTCCATTAAAAGGGGGAAGGGAGATGATGACTGTGTGTGAAGGCATTTGCTGCCAAGCCTTTTTTTTTTTTTTACAAGACAGGGTTTCTCTGTATTGTTTTGGAGGCTGTCAGACCAGCCTGGCCTCAAACTCACAGAGATCCATCTGCCTCTGCCTCCCGAGTGCTGGGATTAAAGGTGTGCACCACCACACATGGCTGCTGCCAAGCTCTTTGGCTTTCACTAGATTCCTTGGACCCACGTGGTGGAAGGAGAGATCTTCTGGAAGTTATCCCCTGACACATGCATGCACACAACACATGAGGGCATGTGCATGCACATGCACATATAGACACATAGAGGAATTAGAAATGTAACTTAAAAATTAAAATGGGAGGAGTGTAGAAGCATATAGTCCATATAAAGAGGAGAATAGTTAGCAATGTAAACGGTAGACTGTGGGATAATCCAACCAAGCTTTGGTGGCAGTGAAACAATAATGTCTAACATCTGGGTTTAAACTATAGCATATTGACATCTAGAGCAATGGCAACTCAATAGCCAATGGAAGTACACAAAGGAAGTTGAGGACAGGATACAGTGGGGTAAGGCACAGTTCTGAAGTAGAAACTAAAAGGCTAGCACAAGGATACATGTTAGGCAAACAAACATAAAGGAAAACAATGACACTAACTGAAAAACAACAGCCACACAATGATAAAATACCAAATGAAAATATAAATTAAGACATGCACTTGATATTTTCAAAATACACGGTGCAATCACTGTCAAAAGAGCAACAAAATATGTATAACCACTCATTAGTGCTGGAGAATTAAACAGACATTCTGCAATCATAAACCTTTCCATTCTTATCTTAAGGAATCGAAGCAATACAAAAACAAATCTAAAACCCACAACAAGAGGAGCTGGGGAGATTATTCAGTGGGTAAAGTGCTATTCTAACTATAATGGCCAGCTCCAGGTTCAATGAAAGACCACGTCTCAAAAGATAACAGGGAAAGTGGAAGACAATTAGAGTTGACTTCTGGTCTCCAAATTTGCATGCACAGGCCAACACACACACACACACACACACACACACACACACACCAAACATCATAGTAAAGTTGGGCTAATAGTTTTACTTCAAGTAGAGAATGTGTGCTCATTAAAGTATTATCATCAAATACCTGTTTCTAAGCTATCACCAAAACAAATGTCAGCTAAAAGAAACAACAGAAATGATGGGCTTCCAAAAAGCTCAAATTTTCTTCATGACCTGGAATGGTCCTAGCTACCATCCTATTACTCTGTCTTATTGGTCTTCTCTACATCTCCCACCATTGGTGGAATTCAAATGCTATTCTTGTAATCTTTCATCTTCATTTAGCCAATTACTCCATTGTTAAGCATGTCCTGAATAATTTTTAAATTACTCTCACTTCTCCACTCTCATTCTCATTTCTTTTTTCCCTCAATACATGTTTTTATTTAAATTAGAAAAATGAATGCTTCACATGTCAATCCCAGATCCCTCTGCCACCCCTCCTCCCTTGACCCATCCCCACGGAGAGTGAGGCCCTCCTGGGGGGGATCTCCAAGGTCTGTCATTTCGTCCAGGGAAGGACGTAGGCCCTTCCCCATGTGTCCAGGCTGAGAGAGCATCCCTCTATTTGGAATGGGCTCCCAAAGATCATTCATACACCATGGTAAACACTGACCTACTACCCAAGGCCACAGTGATTTCTGTGGCCTCCTCACTGATACTACATTCGTGGAGTCTGGATCAGTCATTCCCATTTCATATTTTCAGAAAATTTCCATCTCTTGTTTGAATTAATGCCACCGCATCATTCTAGCTTTCACCTCAAGTTTTCCCTGCACATTTATGAGTTTCTGGAAAATGGTGTTGTACTATTGTGCTTTCCACAGCAAGTTTTACCTAAGGCCATACTGATTCCTTCCCCTTACCATATTGAAAGCAATCTATCTACTTGTCCTGGACAGTTTATTGTCAACATGACAGAAGTTCGAGATATCTGGGAAGAGACACTCTTAGTTTAGAAAATAGTTCCATAGCATAGGTCTGTAGGAAAATCTGTAGTGCATTTTCTCAATCAATGATTGATGTTGGAGGGCTCAGCACATTATTGGTAGTGGCCCTCCTGGGCAGCTGGATACTATAAGAAAGCAGGCTAAGCCAGACACAAGGAACAAGCCAGTAAGCAGAGCTCCTCCATGGCTTCTGCATATGTTCCCGTTTCCAGGTTCCTGCTGGGACTTCTCTGGATGATGGACTACAAGTGATAAGATAAGATAAGCCCTTTCCCTCCCAAATTGCTTTTGGTAATGGTGTTTCCTCATAGGAATAAGAACCCTTACTGTATCCTTTCTAACTTTATCATTGTATTTGTGTGTCTGGTATCACTGTATTTGTATGGCATGATATGAACACACCAAGTGCTGAACAGACAGATGCTCTTCCAAAGTCCTTCACCTTGTACACACATAAAACCTAAAAGGAACTCTATAGAGAATGATGATGGTTAATATTGCTTTTCAACTGGACAGCATCCAGAAGCACCTAGGAGACAAATCCCAGGCATATCCATGAGAGAGTTGCCAGATTGGGTTTGTTGAGGTCGGAGGACTCACTCTGATGTGATGGCAGCATTCTATAAATTGAGATCTAAGACTAAATAACAAGGACGAAGCCATCTGAACTCCAACATTCATCTTTCTCTACTTCCTCACTGTGGAATTTGTTATGTATTTATAGACTAAAAAATAATTAATTCTTCCAATTTCCTGTTTTCAATGACTGGGATGAAAATGTGAAAACATATATTTGATGTAAAACTTTTTAAAATCCTCTTGCCTCATTCTCTGGAGTGTTGGGGTCATAGGCACACGCCACCATGCCAGATCACTAGGCACTTTGTACAGATACTAGGTGATGCAGGAGGTTGAACTGGAACACAGAAGTTTACCTGACACATTTTAAAATGCCTTAATCATGTAGCTTTGGCCGTCTAAAAAGTTCTACATTAAATATATGTATTTTTCATTTTTTATCACAGTAATTGGAAATGTAAAACAGAAGAATTAAACGTTGTTTTAGTTTATGAACATATAACAACAAATGCTTAATCTACCTGCTTGGCTTTAATTCATTATGCTTTCAAAAGTAAATTGCAAAACTTTAATATAAATTTAAACATAATTTAATAAATATAGTTAATTAATTAGAAACTACAGCCATAGTATGGAAGTGTTTTCTTCCTCAGTTTCCACACTCTTACAGTGAAGAACATTCTCTCTGGCACTGACACTTTCTTTAAATGGTGTTATGAACCTTAATATTATTTGTTAGAAACTCAGTGGCTTAACAAAAGATACAACTGTCTAGATTACCCTTTTACCCAAAATTCTATGTACTTACTCTTTGCATGTGTGTGTGAATGTGTGCACATACGGAGGTCATAGAGCAGCTTTCAGGACCTGTATCTCTCCTGTCACCAAGAAGGTCCAGGGGGTCACACTTAGGTTGTTTGCATTTACCTACTGAGTTACCTCCTCAAAATAATATTATTGATAGCTCTTGCAGTTATAAATATTCTATCAGAAGGCTAATGCAATAAAGATTAAAAGTTATGTACCCAAAGCTTCTTCCTTCTTTGAGAAATCAATATAACAAAGTAATGGAGATAAAGTTCTATTATCAAATGGAAAAGCAACATAAATGTAGAAAACTTTAACTGTCTTTCTTACTGTTATATAACTAGTTGTTTACATAACACAATGGGTTATACTATAATTAAATACTTGTTTTGTTTTTGTTGAACAGAGGAAGTTTCACACAGTGAGAAGTGGGTGTGGCTTACAAGCAGCAGGGTGGCATCAGGAGAGTGCCAGCAGAGAAGCTAAACCTTATGATTCCACGTGAACAATCCTGCTGCTGAAGTCAGGTCATAGTTTTTCATGGCTAGTAAAATGATCCCCATATTAGACCTTCAAAGGTATCTGAATTTGCTTCTTATTGAGAACCATATTTCCTGAAAACGCACAATTTGACTTTGTCTTTAACGGATGTCTTTGCTTTCTAAGTGGATACCTTCTAGAAAGCAACTAAGCAAAGATGATTTCTACTTTGCAGTCATAAGAACACACAGAAAAGCATTTCTGTATCTCACCACACTCAATATTTTAATACAGTCTTCATTTTTTATTCAGATAGAAGGATATTAAGAACTTAGGGGATATACGATGAAAGTAACCAGTTACACTAGTTTCTTCTAAATTCTCTTGATAAAACAGAAGCCCCACGTCCTAGAAAACTCAGTCCTACAGAAGGTAGGAGTGCTGTTTTCTCGGGAATGAAGTCAACTGAGGAACTCTTAAGATAACAGGGCCTTACCTTCACATCATTGGTGTTCATCCTTGTTCCCTCCTTCCCCACAAATATGTCATCAATGTCCACAAGGATGTACCTGTCCAAGGACAAGGTCAGCCTCTTCCCTGACAGGAAGGAGATGGCATCTATGAAGATGAGCTTGTGCAGCCAAAAGTTCAAGTTGTTGCCAAAAAGAACGCGCTGGATCCCATCATGAAGCCCCAGGTCATGTATGATAGTGGCATAAAAAGCACCTTTAGAGATGGGAGGAGAAAGGTTTTCTGGAGTCGTAACTTTGGCAAATATTACTGGCTGGTAGGTTGAGTGGTTAATCTGAAAAACTGTCCAGTCAGTTCCTGGTAAAGAACCTCTGTCAAGCTTGGATGATTTGGTCACACGAAGCAATGGGGAGTGAGGGTTAATACAGCAATCCTTTACTGCCAGGTTTCCACTTATGGAAAAGGGGAACCCTCTGAACTGAAAGCTCTGTGGGTTTTTCTCACTGGTTTTGTGGAATCCAATGATACCCACACCATACTCTACACAGTATTTATCTAAGAGGCTTCTATTCCAAGAGTCCATGTTTATGTATTTTAAAATATTCTCATATATGATGAGAACATATTTGCCCTTCACGTTGTCTGTAAGGGCTGGAAGGTCCCCTTTTCCAGGAGCGATTTCAGTGTGATAGTGGAATCGAATGGATTCTAGCATCATAATGATGTCTTGGCCAAGGGATGAGTACTGGCTCTCCACAAACACTAGGACTGTGGGGTCTGTCCTTGAAGCATCAGAAATCATTGTCCTCTTCACTTCCATCAGCCTGGACGGTATGTGCTGGAGGTCACCGCAGTCTGCTTCTGAAGTCCTCCCAGAGAGTTCACTTTCCTGTTTGTAACCACTGTACAGGTAGTAAGCAGAAATAATAATGCTTACTACACAAAAAGTGGCAAGCAGAATCAGTGTTCTCTGAAAGTGTCTGTGAAGTTTCATGGTAAAACTCATGTCGGGTGGACTCCTTTGACTATTCCAAAAGAAGCACCATTAAAAAATGAGAGGAAGGATGGAGTGTCAGCCACGCTCCTAGTCTCAGTCAGTAGCTTATGTCACCATTGCAACACATCTGGATTGCGCGACCAGGACTCACAGGAAATACAGTCTGAAAAACAGAAGACAGCAGGACAGAGTGTAAAACATCCTGTCATTGGTATCAAAATGAGTGGGTCTTTATCATATTGGCTACCCTATATGGAGGTTTATAGGCAGATCGGATGGTGTATTAGAAAATCTTGCCTTCTTATTACATATATGGATGAGGACTTCTGGCAGACTGGATGAGGACTTCTGGCATACAGAATAAGGAAGAGGCTCCACTCGATATAGGGTCACCACGCCTAACACAGAACAAGCGACCAGGCTGACAAGGACCTGGACTCAAAAAGCTTTGCATCAGATTCTGTCAGTAACCAGGATGTAAGGGCACACAGAGCTTCTCAAGTATATTCAGTAGCTCCTGTCACACAGACACGTATCTTGCTGTGTGTATCCAAACTGTTGTTGAATTACATGTGCTAAAGGTTTACAAAATGTGGGCATATATCATTAAGTGCCAAGATTACAACAGTGACTTTTTTCTTTTCCAGAAATTCCTTAATGAAATGTACATACACTTCCAATTCATTCGAGAAATTATCCTCTAAGAACTGCTTTCATTAGAAAAATCCTTTCTACATGCAAAGATGGCCCAGCAACCCAATTGGCTATTTTAGATTACACAGCTTTAAAACATTGTACCAATCATATTGAGAAATGACTGTAGGAGTGCAAAGCTTCTTAGGCTCCTTCCGGTCTGGAGTGAGATGACCTGCATCAGGCATGCGCACCCCAGCAGTTCTGGAGTGAGATGGCCTGCATCAGGCATGTGCACCCCAGCAGTTAGGTCTGGAGTGAGATGGCCTGAATCAGGCATGCGCACCCCAGCAGTTCTGGAGTGAGATGACCTGCATCAGGCATACGCACCCCAGCAGTTAGGGCTGGAGTGAGATGGCCTGCATCAGGCATGCGCACCCCAGCAGTTAGGTCAGGAGTGAGATGGCCTGCATCAGGCATGCGCACCCCAGCAGGTCTGTCAGATGTTCCAGTGTGATCTGCTTCTGCTTTTAGAACTCAGTAATTACATCAAGAATACCATAATGGCATGATAAAAATGTCATGAAAACAGTTGAGATGCCATGAAATGCTTCATGCTTCAATAGTTTCAAGTCTTAGTAACCTCTGAAAAATCCAAAGCAGAGAAGCATGTGTAGAACACATATTTGGGAGGGTCTTATGGTTCTGGCACTCCATGAGGAATACCAACAGTTTAAAAAAAGTCTTGTCATTATCGTCATGGTGTGCTCACAGATAGCTGGGAGGCAAGCAGTGGTTGAAAATCCTGCATTTGATGGGCTGTTCCTCTCTTTCTTTCTTTTTTTTCATCTTTTAAAATTTAAATTAAAAACAAGCTTGCTTCACATGTCAATCCCAGCTCCTTCTCCCTCCCCTCCTCCCCATCACTCCATCCTTCCAGCCCCCCACCCAGTCCCCTCCATGGGAATCACCAGAGTCTGTCATTTTGTTCAGGCCCTCCCCCGAGAGTCCAGGCTGAAAGAACATCCGTCACTGTGGGATGGACACCCATGTTTCTATGTTTCTTAATTGCAATATTTCTATCATGTACTTTTCGATACAATGATGAAGCCAGAATAAAAAGTTGCTAAGAATCACAAGGTTAAAATTCTGCAATATTTATCCACAAAATAAGTAGAAAAATCAGAATTTGACTAATATCTTCATGAATAATAAATTTTGGGATATAAGTACAAGATATTTATGATATTTATCCTATAAATCACATATTGTAGTTTATTACTCAAATACTTGCGGTATCTGTGTCATTCATTCAAATGTTTACAGGGAACTTATTTTTTCCTACTGAAAATATACATGGTCAACATATTAAATGGCTTTAAAACTTCTAAACTATGAGGAAGATACAGTGAGCAGAATGCTAACATGTGATTGTGGATTCGAGGCTGTAAAGAGATGGGAGAGGGAAGAACCCATGACATTGTGGATTAGAGGCTGTAAAGAGATGGGAGAGGGAAGAACCCATGACAGGTGGGGCACAGCCTGTGAAATGCACAGTGGAGAAGACATGGCTGAACCTGAAAGGCAGGTAGTTTGTATAGACACGTGATTTAGAAAATGTCGTAGACACAGGAGTAAGCACGGTATTGGAATAAGTCATGAACGAAAAGTAGAATAATTAGGTAAAAGTATTCAAAAATTAATTGTGACTATGCACTGCTAATGCAAATTATAGGGAGTGATAAATCCTTAAGGACAATATCAGACCCTGTTTTCTCTAGATGTAGTAGATATAAAATGTCAAAGTCATTTTTTAGTCATTTTTTCCCATCAAATTCCCTAAGGTTATCCTGTTTATATGCCCAAGGGCAGTAGTTAGTTTTAAATGGATAAATATAAATTCTCCTGCTTTCTGTAAACCACTTTTTTCTTAAAAGACAGGACGTCATTATGTAGCCAGGTTGGTCTGGAACTCCTGAACTCTGAATTATTCTGCCTCTGCCTCCCCAATGCTGGGGTTATAGGCATTAAATACTATGCCTGACTTCTATGCAAGTCTGTTCTAACAAATGCCTCATGTGTCCATGGCTAACTTTAGTCTCAGTATGGATTCACAGACAGCCACTTCGTGCCCCATGCTTTTCTTATTCTAGTTGTGAAAACCTCAGGGTGGACTGAATTGATGTTGCCCCTCTTCTTTTAGGACATGGCACTTTAGAAGCAGGTAGAGACAAGGATACCAAGCTCTGTGCATGTCCTGAATGTAGCATCCCCAGGACAGGGAAATATGGAAAGCTAACCTTTCCCACGTAGTTCTCTTGTCAAATTTTCCAATTTTCCAAACTTGCAAAGACCCAGTAGATAACACATGGTCATGAGCTTGCTACCATAATAATTAAACTTGTACTTGCTACCATAATAATTAAAACTTTGTTTTAAAACATCCTTCCTGTTGCGGTGGAAGTTCTACGAAGGGAGAATTAAATCCTCATTTGTCCATCACTGCAGCCCTGTGCCCAGCATAGAATAAACTCAGTGACTGCTGATAGAATTTATTGAATTCAGTGGCTCATTATGCCTGTAGGTTTATTAGGTGCTTCTATTCATGCTAATGCCGCAATGTATCTTTTAAGGTTACCCATGACTATTAATGATTATAGCTGCTAAAAATTGCTGGATTTCATGTCTGATGTCTGTTTTATTGAATGTGGAATAAATTTAATCATAACAGCCTGGCATGTGATAAATCTAACATAATCTATTAGAGATAAATCTTCACACTCATGCACACACACACACACACACACACACACACACCACCACCACCACCACCAGCAGCAGCAGCAACAACAACAACAATAAAACCACCCAGAAATTGCTCTGCAATCAGCCATGAGACTGAAAAACTAATTTGAGATTAGTGTTGTAGTAGTCAATGCTGAAGACAGCACAGAACTGAAATTAGGAATAATCCTTGCATCTACAAAGATGGATTCACTGATAGCAACGAGACCTGTGAGACAATAGCAAACACCATGTCACACATGGTAAGATATGATTTATGATAGAAAATGGCCAATGCTATCATACATGGTAAACTGTACAAGAAGCAAGACATTTTTGTACCTTCTTGGGGCAGGGGAAGGGAGATATCAAGAAAGAGAGAGATCAATAAGATGATTCCCGAGAGACACAGCTCCTAAAGACTACCTATCACAGTGGTGAGGGTCTGGATATGAGGGCGAAAGGGAATGAAAAACCTCTGGCCAGGCAGAAGAAACAAAATGATTTCAACGTGTTTGTCCAAGAGTGGGAATAAACTACTTATATCACACTATGCACTGCAATAAAATTGGAAATAATACTTAGTTTAAAAAGCACAGCAGATTAATGCTTATCTTTTAATTCAGAAATAGCATTAGACTATTTGAACAGAAAGTCAAAAACAAAAAAAAAAGACACAAACCAACAGTGTGCAGTCGGTGCAGCAGTGGGCATGTGATAGTGTCTATGCTACAAAGTACAGAGTGAAGATGCTTGAGGTAAGTTAGCTAAGGGCTGCTGCTGTGACTCCATGGGAAGCTATGATGGTCCAGACTAAGGTGGCTATCAAGGACAATGCAAATGAAATTCCTGGGAGGAAAGCAGAAATGATGGTTGGGATAGAGGTGCACTTGAAGATTAAAAACCAAAGGTGTCAGGTCAGTAATAAAACACAAAGCTTTGAGAGGAAATGAACTTGAGCTGGTGTTGTTCATTTCAGACCCAGACAGGCAGGGTAACTGCTATATGACAACATGTACAAAACCAGCAGGCTCTATAAAGCAGTTGACCAAAGACAGAGACATTGAAGACAATCTTTGAAATCTCAGCAAGCCACACAAACCCAGTGCCTCAGGAAAACCCCAGCTCTAGCCTTTTTCCCATTTAGGTCACAGGAACTTTCATTGTGAACATTGATAAAACATTGTTAGCAAAACTATTTGCTCAATGTGTCTGCTCCTTGTTAGACTGGCATTCCCAAGGGCAAAGGCTTATCTTGTTATTTTTCAGAGAAAACTTCTTAAAAACCAAGATCAACAGGAAAGAAAACCTTACACAATGATGCTGTATTTTAGAACTGTTCTCACAAATACATAGAAAAATATAGGCATTCCTATTCATGGGTTCTGTGCTAAGTAAAGGAGCAAGCACACTGAGCAGCATGCCAGGGTCTCCACCCTGCAGAGTTTATGGGTGTGGGGCATTGTGCTTCCTAGTCATTTTAGGATGGGGAAAGGAGACACTAAAAAGTGTATTAAGTTCGGAAAATGAACTATGTGGGCAGTATTATCAATAAACACAGGCACAGGAAGGTTGGCCCAGCCTCACATTACTGCTTCAGGATGATCTCCTGTAGGTCACACTGAAGGAAGTGCCATCCAGGAACGTGGAGCAATAGCCTCAAAGGTATTAAGAGTATTTGGCCTGCGCAGACCATCTCCTGACTCTCTAGAGACTGGGAAACAGGCACAAGATGCCACAGCTAGA